ATTTGTCTTCCTTTCTGGTGATTGTTCAGTTGTCACCCTTTCTGGTGATTGTTCAGTTGTCGGCCTTTCTGGTGATCGTTCAGTTGTCACCCTTTCTGGTGATTGTTCAGTTGTCACCCTTTATGGTGATTGTTCAGTTGTCATCCTTTCTGGTGATTGTTCAGTTGTCACCCTTTCTGGTAATTGTTTAGTTGTCGGCCTTTCTGGTGATCGTTCAGTTGTCATCCTTTCTGGTGATTGTTCAGTTGTCACCCTTTCTGGTGATTGTTCAGTTGTCGCCCTTTCTGGTGATTGTTCAGTTGTCACCCTTTCTGGTGATTGTTCTGTTGTTTCCCTTTCTGGTGATCGTTCTGTTGTAACTCTCTCTGGTGATCGTTCTGAAGATGTTGCAGTTGACACAGTTCTTGGAGATCTTTCTCGACAAGCTATGCCTAAATTGCTTACCCTTGGTAATAAGATTTCAATATCACTTTTTTGGAAGTCAATCTGTTCATAACATGGCATTAAGGGCTCCGAAAATCTTGGAATGTTCAACAATTTTTTCATGGCATCCACTTTTTCTTTCTGAGTCATGATAAACTCAACTGGTAGCTCTGTTGATTCGACATCGTCATATTTATTGAGAAGATATTTTATTTTTGATATGAAATCCGAAAGTATAGCTTTGCGAGTTTGAAAGTCAGACATCAAGGAACGTTTTATGGCGGTCAAATTTTCTATGTTATCATGTACAATGATATCCAGAGCATCCTTGATAGCTTTGGATCTGGAAATTATTTTGGATTGTATTTCGGAAATTTCGTCTTCGCATTCCACTTCATCTAGTACGATTTTCGTAGCTAGTTCTGTACTGTTGGTAAAGGTATCTTTTAAACAATTAAAGACTGTCAAAAACTCTTCCATTTTGGATTCGAATATTTGGTCAATGTCGGTTTGTTCGTGTCCAAAATGGGACTCTCTCATGCATGTCATACATACGGGTACTTCACATTGCTTGCAACAGGAAATGTACACTCTGTTGGTGTGGACTTGACACAAACTGTTCTTGATTACGTCATGGTGGCTTGTCCCTTTTTTTCGTTTATGCCGATCTCTGCAAGTTTGACAGAGACTGACCTGACAGGTGTTACATTGATATTCAGCACTGCCTTCGTCACAATTTGTGCATTCATCTATTTCATCCATTGTTTGCCTAGGATAATGCATAATTCTTTTCAATGACAAAAGCAGATAGGAAAATAAATGTATTCAAATTTATGTTATTATTGTACGTGTATGTAAGTGAATACGTGAACACCATAGTAATTTAAATTTGAACGTTATAACACACCACCTTTCCTTCGAGGTCCGAAAATGGATATTTGAAGGATTAAGTTAAGCATGTCTGGGTAATAAATTTGGAAATCTTTGATCAGAAAGAATTCAAACATTGCTATGTTTTCAAAATATCATATTGAAAATAAAGCAATTAAAAAAATCGAATACGGATTTGGCTTTAGAATATGACATCGGTGCTTACTAATAAACAACTGTAATTCGTTGATAAATGTCAGGTTAATAATTTTCTACAATCAAATAAGATACACGAAATCTATTTTATAACCCTTATATTAAGTAGTTAACTGGTTTATCTAATGCAGTACATTTTGACTTTATCAAATGACATACTTATACTGAATATATCATTTAGATATAATTTTATCTTGTTATAATCTAGCCTCTGATTGGCCAATATCCAAAAAGGAACACAAATCATTTCTGTATGACCTGGTATAATATGGACACCCCCCCCCCCGAAAAGCAGCTGAACCATCTGAATCCATGAAATCCTCTCATCCCAGTTCTGGGGATTCATGGTAAATTTCAGATTTAATAAATATACCTTTAACTTCAAACAGTAAATCGATTTTACTACATGTAAACAAACAACTATGTTTCTAGGCCTATGTATAAACTGTTACATCCCCTGGCATCCGATCACTTCCGTTACTACGGTAGTATTATTGAGCAGCAAATTGGAACTAATAAACAAGAGGCCCATGGGCCACATTGCTCACCTGAGCACTGTGGCTAGGAAAAAGTAGAAAATGGTTTATTATTTAATAATTTAAATCCAAAAGTAGTCCCAATACCAATCCTGGCTTTGCTATTCTTGATAAGATGATTTTTAAAGAATTTTCTATATATGTCTTGAAAAACTTTGGTCGGCCATTGTGGTCCCGCCCTACCCCCAGGGTCATGATTTGAACAAACTTGAATCTACACTACCTGAGGATGCTTCCATATAAATATGATCAATTAGGGATTTGCGATTCTTGAGAAGAAGATTTTAAAAAAAATTTCCTATATATTTCTATGTAAAACTTTGGTTGGCCATTGTGGCCCCGCCCTACCCCCGGGGGTCATGATTTGAACAAACTTGAATCTACACTACCTGAGGATGCTTCCATATAAATATGATCAATTATGGCTTTGTTATTCTTGAGAAGAAGATTTTTAAAGAAATTTCCTATATATTTCTATGTAAAACTTTGGTCAGCCATTGTGGCCCCGCCCTACCCCCGGGGGTCATGATTTGAACAAACTTGAATCTACACTACCTGAGGATGCTTTCGTGTAAATATGATCAATCATGGCTTTGTTATTCTTGAGAAGATTTTAAAAATATTTTCTATATATTTCTATGTAAAACTTTGGTCGGCCATTGTGGCCCCGCTCTACCCCCGGGGGTCATGATTTGAACAAACTTGAATCTACACTACCTGAGGATGCTTTCATATAAATATGATCAATTATGGCTTTGTTATTCTTGAGAAGAAGATTTTTAAAGAAATTTCCTATATATTTCTATGTAAAACTTTGGTCGGCCATTGTGGCCCCGCCCTACTCCCAGGGGTCATGATTTGAACAAACTTGAATCTACACTACCTGAGGATGTTTCCCCATAAGTTTAATCTTTCCTGGCTCAGTGGTTCTTGAGAAGATTTTTAAAACATACCATCAAATTTTCATTAATTCCCAATTATCTCCCCTTGAATGAGGGCCTGAATCCCCTTCACCCAAGGATGCTTTGTGGCAAGTTTGGTTGAAATTGGCCCAGCGGTTCTTGAGAAGAAGTCGAAAATGTGAAAAGTTTACAACGACGACGACGACAACAACGACAACAACGACGACGACGACGACGACAGACAACGGACAAATTGTGATCAGAAAAGCTCACTTGAGCCTTTGGCTCAGGTGAGCTAAAAAGCATAATTTTACACCCTCAGTTCGCGGATTTTAAAGCGTAAACTGACCAAAATCAGGTTATACTCAAATAATTCAGCCAAGAGTCATTCCTTATACTAGTATATATATGCAAATTTTATTTTGACTGAGGCTTAGTGTATACAAATATTTAGATTGAACCTTCTATTATTATACTTTGTACATATTATAGATTTTCATGCCCCCGTAAACGAAGTTTTGTCGTGTCCGTCCGTCTGTCTGTTTGTCCGCAACTTTTGATTTATTTGAGCCATGGCTTTCATATTTCACATGTGTATTCCTTGTGACAAGACCCTTTTTTGAGTACCAAATTTGACCTTGACCTTGGAGTTTGATCCACTTTTACATGAGAATTTTAACTTTTATTTTGGTCAAATCTTTTGAACAGTAAATAGCAGGACATTTATACTTCACATATGTATTCTTCATTAACAGACCTTTCATTGGATACCAACAACCTTGACCCTTTGACCTTGTAGATATTCGTATACTTGTGAAAAAAACTTTTACCTTGGCCATAACTTTTGAACGGTAAGGGATAGGGCTATCATACTTCATATATGTCATCCTTGTGAGAAGACTCTTCCCTGGCTACAAAGCAATTTGCATTTAAGAAACCTTTAATCTTTGCTTTGTTTCCATACGGGGACATCAGTGTTTCACAAACACATCTTGTAGTTATCTTACGGTTTTAAATCTAATCCTCGATGAAAGTCAAAATTACAAGAGGAGATGTAGATGCGATGATTTTTTCAGCAAAATCAAAGCTTTGTACTCAAATGACATACTTATAAGGAAAATATTAATATTTATCTATAGTTCAATTTTATTATTAGCTAGCCTCTGATCGGTTTATATCCGAAGAGGAACACAACTTATTTCTGTAACGTATGGCCTGGTTTGGTATGGGACATTCCTCCCCCTTCCGAGCCCACAACCAACTTCAAAATTCAAAAACAGAAAATTATAGAGACGGATTTGAATATTAGATTTCATATACGAGTGGATAGTTCACCATGGAAAAGTAACTACTTCTTGACTCAAATTCTTAGAACAGGCATACAAAAATGTAAGTATTGTCAACATTTGAATAGAGACATTTGGAATAATATATTTATTCAGTGCTTCCTTAGATTAAAATTTGATATTTATCATTCTTTGTTTAAGGGATGTGAAGGACAAGAAAGAATATGACTTTTTCATGTTTGTATTTTTCTGCTTATAATCTTCATTTTAATATGACGTAATATGTGCAAAAAATGATTATGTAAATAACAAATAAAAACTGCTTTAAATATTACGTGATTGAATAACAGAATACAAACTAAAATAATTTTAAGTCTATAGTAGGGATGCCTTTGATACTTAACTTTATTACAGTAAACTATAGTTCAATATGGTAGCGAGTTTTTGTTAGGGTCTTCTTGATTATGCTATACCTTTCCCTTTCCAAGTCCATGCTTCATTGAAAATGGGACAACCATTCATCATGTTCATGAATGTATAGTTTTTATGATAGTCCAGATAATATTTTTTGTATATATTTCAAAAAAACTTTCAATACAAAATTTTAATATGCTTATTTATTGCTTTTAAATCATTAAAAGTAACTTATGTTAAAAAAATGTTTGCAATCCATGTTTATTATAACGGTGCTTAGACACAGATTTGAAGTTGAGATTTTCTCAAATTTTCTGTATAATGCAACGACTTATATATCGCAGTAGCATTTTACACAAAAATATAATAACACAAAAATAAAAATCTTATTTCACCTCGAAGTTATTGTAACTTCGAACTTATAGACGGGTTGATTGGCATATCTATGCACTTTTACAAATTTTAATAAATAATCTGAATTTTCTGAATTATAGTTTGAATATTTTTTTATGAATACACAATAAAATTGCCACTTTTCTTAAGCATGAAAAATAAAATTTAAAATTTGTGAAAGTACTAGGATGTGTCATTTAAACCCGTCCAAAAATGTTTAATTTAGATAACTTTGAGATGAAATAAGATCTTATTGAAATATTTTACTTCAAATCTGTGTCTAAGCACCTTTAATGCAATAAAAAGTTAAAGTTTTCAGATTACCTTATATATAAATAGACTGTCATAAAATCTGGTAGATGTTTTGTCTGTCCGTACTTAATTGAACTGCAGAAGTTATCTATGTATCATCAAAAGTTATATGCCTCGGATAAAGTGCAGTTAAATAAACATGTTGATAGAGACTTTTCTATTGACACACAATCCAGTATTAAATGTTGAACACATTAAATCGTTTTATCTTAGATAATCATCCTAAATTAAACATATACAAACTAAATGATATTTATTAAAAAACATAATCGTTTGTATATAATTCTTATAACAATAATAACAAATACTTTCAAATAAATTAAATATTTAACCATTGTATAGCCTTGAAACCCAACATGATAATAAACGTATTTTTTATTTATTGGCAAATGAAACCTATCCTGTAGTTGTATTTTGACGTACTTGTTTCCACCGATTATTAGGCCTTTTTGACTATGACAAGGTCCACGGCAGGTGTGAACGGTCGACAGGGGAAGCTAACTCCTCCTAGGCACCTGATCCCACCTCTGGTTTATCCAGGGGCCCATGTT